AGGATCTATAAAGAACTCCTCAAACTCAACACACACAAAACAGATAATCACTTCAAAAAATGGGCAGAAGATATGAACAGACACTTCTCCAATGAAGTCATACAAATGGCTAACAGACACATGAAAAAATGTTCAACATCACTAGCCATCAGGGAGATTCAAATCAAAACCACATTGAGATACCACCTTACACCAGTTAGAATGGCCAAAATTAGCAAGACAGGAAACAACATGTGTTGGAGAGGATGTGGAGAAAGGGGAACCCTCTTACACTGCTGGTGGGAATGCAAGTTGGTACAGCCACTTTGGAAAACAGTGTGGAGATTCCTCAAGAAATTAAAAATAGAGTTTTCCTATGCCCCTGCAATTGCACTACTGGGTATTTACCCCAAAGATACAGATGTAGTAAAAAGAAGGGCCATCTGTACCCCAATGATCATAGCAGCAATGGCCACAGTCGCCAAACTGTGGAAAGAATCAAGATGCCCTTCAACGGACGAATGGATAAGGAAGATGTGGTCCATATACACTATGGAGTATTATGCCTCCATCAGAAAGGATGAATACCCAACTTTTGTATCAACATGGAAGGGACTGGAAGAGATTATGCTGAGTGAAATAAGTCAAGTGGAGAGAGTCTATTATCATATGGTTTTGCTCACTTGTGGAGCATAAGGAATAACATGGAGGACATGGGGAGATGGAGAGGAAAAGGGAGGTGGGGGAAATTGGAGGGGGAGACAAACCATGAGAGATTGTGGACTCTGAAAAACAATCTGAGGGTTTTAAAGGGGCGGGGGGTGGGAGGTTGGGTGAGCCTGGTGGTGGGTATTGTGGAGGGCACGTATTGCATGGAGCAGGGTGTGGTGTATAAACAATGAATTCTGGAACACTGAAAAGAAATTTTAAAAATAAATTAAAAATTTAAAATAAATAAATAAAAATGGGGAGAAAAACAATAAACATCAGCCAACAGAAGCTAATCAGGCAACTACCTAAATCCCAAATGGTGGGGGGAGACATTTAGACCTCTAAAGCTAGGAGATCTGGTGGACCAATCCAGGGCTATAAAGAAAGTAGACTAGTCAAGCATCATATCTTACTAATAAGCATTCCAGGAGCATTTATTGATATGAATTTTAAAAACCAAACAAAGTTCAAGACTCAGAGAAAAAATTTTTAAAAATCTAAAGAAGAATGTAAAAAATACTATAATCAATATTAGAACATAAACCCAAAGAAAGTAAATAATGAGAGTATAAATCAAGGAAACAGAAAACAGACTATGAAAAACAAAGCCAATCTTCAACAAACGGAGCTGGGAAAACTGGACAACTACACGCAAAAGAATGAAACTGGACCACTTTCTTACACCATATGCAAAAATACACAGATTAAGGACCTAAATGTGAAACCTAAAACATAAAAATCCTAGAAGACAGTACAGATAGTAATTTCTCTGAGAGGCAGGGGAAATAAAAGCAAAAAGAAACTACTGTTACATCAAAATAAAAAGCTTCTGCACAGCAAAAGAAACAATCAACAACCTAAAAAACAACCTACCGAATGGGAGAAGATATTTATAAGACATACCTGAAAAGGGTCAGTATCCAAAATATATAAAGAACTCCTACAACTCAATACCAAAATAAAATTCAATTTAAAAATGGGCAGAAGACATGAACAGACACTTCCCCGGAGATATCCAGATGGCCAACAGACAGAGAAAAGATGCTCAACATCACTCATCATCAGAGAAATGCACATCAATGAGATAACACCTCACACCTGTCAGATGGCCAAAATCAAAACCACAAGGAACAACACATGTTGGCAAGGATGTGGATGAAAAAAGAATCCTCCCACATTGTTGGTGGGAATGCAAACTGGTGAGCCACTGTGGAAAAATAGTATGGAGGTTCCTCAAAAAATTAAAAACAGAATTACCGTATGATCCCAGCAATTTGAGTACTGGGTATTTACCCAGAAACATGAAAACACTAATTTAAAAAGCTATGTGCACCCCCTATGTTTATTGCAGCATTACTTACAACAGCCAGGGTATGGAAGCGGTCCAAGTGTCCATCGATAGATGAATGGAAAAAGAATATTATTCAGACATTAAAAAGAATGAACTCTTGCCATCTGACACAACATGGATGGATCCGGACAGTATAATGCTGAAATAAGTGAAGTCAGAGAAAGACAAAAACCACGTGATTTCACTCATATGTACAATTTAAGAAACAAAACAAATGAGCAAAGAAAAAGAAGATAAACCAAAAAAACCTCTTACCTATAGAGAATAGATAGTTACCAGAGGAGCAGAGGAAGGAAGGATGGGGGAAATAGATAACAGGGATTAAGAGTATACTTATCACGATGAGCACTGAGAAATGTGTAGGATTGCTGAATCACTGCACTGTACACCTGAAACTGATATTAACTGTATGTTAACCATACGGAAATTGAAATTTTTTAAAAAAGAATAATTAAAAAGCAAAAGGTAACTCTTTGAAAAGACTAACATAATGGAGATACATCTTACAAAACAGACTAAGAAAAATAGATACAGAGAGACAACACAAATATATGAATACAGATATAGTCAGGATATAGATGTAATAATACTAACAACACTTTGTATCAAAAAATTTGAAAAGATAAAAAGGACTAATCCTGAGAAAAATATATACCTTATTGAAACTTACCATTAAGAAATGATAGAAGCTTGAATAGTCCTATACAATTAAAGAAACTGCACAGATTGTTTTAGAAAAAAATCCTCCCACAAGCAAAGTATTATACCCAGTTTCACATTGCTAGGAAATGGTGGGAAATTGCTAGGCAATTTCTCTAAAATTTCAACAAAGCAATCAATCTACTTTTACAAAGCATTAAAAAACTAATACAAAGATTCAATTCACAAAACATAAATTTCACCATCTTAAAGTGTACAATTCAATGGGTATTAATATATTCACATGGTTGTGCAACCATTCCCACTAATTCTAGAACATTTCTATCACCTCAACAATAAATCACTTGCTAGCAGTCACTCCCAATCCTCACCCCCTTTCTGCTAATTAGGTTGATCGTTTCAAAGAACCATTTTTTTGGTCTGATGGCCTCTATTTTTCTATTTCCTACTTCATTTATTTCTATTCAAATATTTGTTATTTCCTTTTTCTAAATTGTTTTGTAGTTTAGCTTACTATTCTTTTTCTAGTTTCTTAAAGGCAGATTTAATTATTGACTTCACTTCATTCTTTTTAAATGTCGGGATTTGAGGGGCACCTGGGTGGTTCAGTCCTTAAGCATCTGCCTTTGGCTCAGGTCATGATCCCAGGATCCCAGGATGCAGCCCCACATCAGGCTCCCTGCTCAGTGGAAAGCCTACTTCTCCCTCTGCCTCTGTTGGTCTACCTGCTTGTGCTCGCTCTCTCGCTGTCTCTGTCAAATAAATAAATAAAATCTTTAAACAAAAAAATGTACAGATTTGAAGCTATAAAGACATTCCTCTGAGAACCGCTTTTGTTGCATCCCGTCAGTTGTATATTTTTCATTCCTCTTGAAATATTTTCCGATTTCCCTGTGATTACATCCTTTGATTCACTGGTTACCCAGAAATATGTTGCTTAATTTGCACCTATTTATGAATTTTCTGCATTCTGTTATTGATTTCTAATTTCATTCCATTTGTGGTCACATACTTCGTATGGTTTCAGTCTTTTCGAATGTATTGAGACTGGTTTTGTAACCTGACATTTTGTGGATTATGTTCCACACGCACTTGAGAACACTGTGTCTTCTGTTAGTGGTTGGAGTGCTCTATGTGAGTCTAAGTCCAACTGGTCTATAGTGCTCTCCAAGTCCTCGATTTCGTTACTTATCAGTCTTATCCTTCCAGCTATCACTGAAAGTGAGGTATGGAAGCCTCCAACTACTACTGTTCAATTGTCTATTTCTCCTTTGAGTTCTGTCAGATGTGATTTCATGTATTCTGGGACTCTGTGGTTAATGTGTGTGTGTGTGTGTGTGTGTGTGTGTGTGTGTGTGTGTGTGTTTGTAATTGCCATATATTCTCGATAGAGTGAGCCTTTAACCATTACAGGTTGTTCATGTCCCCAGCAAAAACGAAAAATTAGCCTTAAAGTCTATGTTGTGTACCTCTCTTTTGGTTACTATTTGTATGAAATATCTTACTCTATTCTTTTACTTTTAATCTATTTGTAGATTTGAATCTAAGGTGAGTCTATAGAGTGCAAAGAATCTGAATCAAGTTTTCAAACCCATTCTGCCAAATGACTCATTTACATAGCCAGCATCTTCTTTGAGGCACCCTCAGAGAGCCCTGAGGCTCTGCAGTGTGGATTCTGAAACCCACTGATTTAATACGTGCAGGGATTACTTACGAAGGAAATAACCCAATTTTATTTCAGAATTCTGTCAGTAACTTGCCATGTAATCTAGAACCAGTCTTTTTATAATAAAGATGAAAAATATTACAATAGATGATGCTATCAGACCAACTATTTTAGAACTGAGGGACATTCAGGATATACTTAGAGATGCTCTACTATGAGTGGTCCAAGACCCACCATATAAGATGCAACGTGGCAGTGCATTAACAGCAATGGCACCAATCCACCTGTGGTAAATACTGCTGACTGCCTACCCAAAGGCCATTTGCTCCTCCTCCTATGATGACAATGCCCTAATTCGGTTTCTTGTGTCTCTCCTCCTCTCAGAAAAAAGGTATGTTGGCCTATCCAAGTGATCTCCTTCTTTCCACTAACTGGTTTAGAAAGATGAGAATGTTACCCAGTTTGGGTCAATGATTGAAGAGATGTCCTTCCTGAAACTCTATCTCTGGACTTATTTTAGGAAATAATAAATCTCCACATTAAGCTAGTCTACATCAGGCTTCCTATTTAGGCCAAAAATTCTACAACAATTTGATTAAGTATTTCTCAATATGATCAAAAAATAAGCTTAACTTTTATCTTTTAATATTTTATTTAAAGACTTCAGTTTTAAACATCTGTAAGACATTCATCAATCCATTTATTATTTTACTTTTAACATTATAAATTTAACTTTAAGTGGCAAAAGAAACAAAAATATGTAATGAAACTATATTTTAGCAATGTCCTCAAGTAGGAAAACCAAAACACTTATCACCACCAAAGCAAACCAACCAACCTAATTTATCAGGCATGTCTACGTCTCATTTCCTTTACATGATATATATATGAGATATATATTTGTTTTGGGGAAAATTTCACTTTCAAAGAACCAGCCCTTGCAAACAGAGCAGCTAGTCTTTCCACAAATGAAATCCATTATCTAGATTCTCAAAACTCACAAAACCGAACGGAAGCGTCTGGTCGTCAGCGAGCAGTGTCGCGCGCTAGTCAGTTTCACGTCACAGGGATAAGCCATAACCAGTCCCAGAAGGCAAATTCCAATTCTAAATATCACTAGAGACTACCACTGTTCTTCCCAACTGTGTTGACAATTGTCTTATTGCTGAATTGTACATGATAAATTTTCTTTGGCAACTTTTTATACTATCAAGTAACACAACTGGACAACTATAAAGGTTTGAATTAACTCAGTATTTCAAAAATTTCAAACTTCATTATAATTATTTAAATGTAATTTCTTATAGACACATCTATAAGAAACATGCCTAATGTAATATAATGACAATGGAAGAACTGCTAAATAATCATTACTGAAAGATTTTCAGATGTATGTACAATTATATAATTGAAGTCAAACACCAGTGAAGATATTAAAACATTAGCTCCAATTCACTATCAGACTTTCTGTGATAAAGGATAAAAACCAGATGTAAAAACTAAAAACTGGGTGTCTTGTCACTTTTCTGGAAGGCTTTCAAATGGATTCAAAATGGCCTAAAAACTGGCCAGAATATAATTTGAATTCTCACTACTATACCTCATAAAATTAAGTCTATTGATAACTTAATAATTTTTCATTCTTGTCCTATAGAATAAGCCTATAGTGGACGCTTGACAAAGTATTACCAAGAAATTTAAACAGGAAGCTCAAGTCCAGACGCGTAACTAAGAAATCTTTGCTATATATAACAAAATCTTCACTTAAATTATAAATGGCTTCCACTAAATATTATCACTCCAGACTTCACACACTGTAAATTAAAACAGGTATGGCAGGAAGTACACTCTGAAGCATGTTCACATTACAAAGATAAATGATGAAATTTAGCCAGCAAAAATTCAAATAGGCATATATGCAAACATTTGTATGCAAAAGTTCATGAGTAAGATAAAGAAATGATTCGTCTCGATAATTTATGTACAGGTTGTTTACAATTTAAAACAAGTACAACTGAAAACATTTCTATGTAAAAGCCACAATAAAGTCAAACGAATTACCAAATAACAGTCTTACAAACTGGTCTCTCAAGAGAATAACAACCAAGTAGGGTATCCTAAGAAATGCCCTCTTCTTGATCAATCATTTCTGTTTTAACTGAAAAGACATCTGCCAGCATATGTTTTGGGATTTCTGAACCTCTGACTTTCAAGGCATAACAAGCATTCTCCACTTTGGCCAGACTTTGTTTCAGGGTATACAACTTTTTAGAAACCTCGTAAGGTCCCGTATTGCCAATGAATGAGAACCCATCGTAAACCTGACGTAAAAACTGGCTCACTTCAAAGGGGGTGTCAATGTCCCCATTCCCCACACTGTTAATACACATCCGCATCAACTCTCCAGTTAAATCAGCCACTCCCAGCAGGTAATCAACAGGTGTGATTTTCAGTCTCCAAGTACCAAACTGCTTATCCTGCGCATCAGAGGAGGGCTGGCAAAGAAAACACACACACACACAAAGAAAATACAATGTGAAAAAGTGTGAATATGTAGGTATCGCATTTATCATAAGGCACAAAATCAAGAGCAGATGAGTCCTACTAATCTCTAAGTAAAAAGGTCTTTTTTGTTTAATGACCATTTGGGATGTTACAAGAATGCATGACCTGGGTAGAAAGTTGCAGTAAGTGACTCCAGATAATTTTGTGATCTAATACTGTATCATTTTAAAATCAACTATTCCCAACTTCACTTGACATATGAAGTAAAATGAAAACATTCTTAAACGAAGCCTGGTGACTTCATGGCATGACAGTCACTTACTTATTCAAATGACAAATCTTAAAGCCCTCCAGGTTTGTGATCCACTCATGTTTTCCTAAGTCGCTTAGTCCCTTTCTGGCCTCTTCTATCCCCACATAGCACGGACCATCGTGATTTATCGCTTTCACTGTCTCCTCCTCAGCTCCTTTAGACTCCTTTGTTGTTTTTTTCTCCACCTGCCCAACAGAGACACCACCCTGAATCGATATTAAAATCTACTCATGCTAGTGCTTTATTCAAGTGGCTGAGTACCACTGGACTAAAAAAAAAGTAATCACAACTATACAGAGTTGGTACTGCTACAAATACTCACCAATCCTTTTTACTTACTCCTATAAGTTTTCTCTCCGGTCTCTTCCGACACTATTCCAAACCTTCACCACTCTCCTCAGCCCCCTACACAATCCCAAACCTCTCCACTGCCAGTAGACAATCTTGTCTACTTTCACTGACCTGACCATTTGCCAGATCACCTGGCATAAGCTCTCTCAGTGACCTTATCCTACAAAACAAAACAAAATAAAAAGCTCATTTATGTCCCCATCCATCTTTACCTTCTATCCTCCAGTCTCAGATGATGAGTTGTCCCTCCTCTTGTTTGAGGTTAACTCTTCCAAATGACCTTGACCCATCTCCTCCCACCTCTTCCAGGACCTTGCTTCATAAGGTGTATGCCCTTGGGCAAGTTATTTCATCTCTCTAAACCTCAGTTTCCTCATCTGTAAAATGGGATAACAGTACCTACCTCAGAGGTTTATTTTAAGGATGAGATAACATTTACCAAGCTCTTGGCATAATGCCCAACACAAAGTAAATACTCAATAAATGTTAGCTGCTATCACCGCCACCACCACATCCATCTCCTCTCTCCACGTCCACTTTTCCCTCTCTCTATTGGAACCTTTCTGGAAGAGGAGAGGCCTACATTATTATTAAAAGTCTGTATGAGACATCGCTGAGTGAGGTTGCAATCATACTGGAGGACATCTGAGGCACAGAGAACTGCAAAAGTGTGCAGGCGAGGGCTGTGTTACGTATAGGAGGAACTCATGAGGTATTTCCTTGGGTAAAGTTTAAAGCGAGTAGTAGTACAGGATGACTACAGAAAGAAAGTCACATTAAGGAATGTGAATTTTACCTGTGGGTAACAGACAGTCACTGAGAATTAAGCAAGGAAATGACAGAGTCAAAGTTATGTTTTTATTAACATCACTTGATATCATGGGACTCTTCAGAGACCGTCTGGGCCAATCCTTTCAACGCAGATATAAAAAGTGAGGTCCAAGAAATGCAATACATCATAGAGCTAGTTAATGACATACCCAGATAAGTATCCAAAGTCATAATTTCCTAATTTTTCTGATGCCTCTGAAACAACATCATGACATAAAACTACCTGTTATGTTTTGTTTCTATTAACTGTTAGGAGAACTGGCATCTTTTGAGAAAGGGTAGATTATGGGAGGGGAAGGGGGGAGGACCGCATTTTATAGGTTGTTTATAAAAATAACTTTGGCTTAAGCACATATTAATGTTCTTTGTTTCTATCATTAGATGGAAAGAGTTCTCTGGTTATGCCTAAGAAGATGATTTTCGAGAAACAAGCATGTTAAAAATTTAACAATTTTCAACTAGTTACCAAGGAAATAAATTCTGCTTTACTGATAATTATATTAGAAACTAGAGAAAAGAAAATTTCTCGAAATGCAATTTTTCAAGATGTGTCTGAAGTATGTAGGGGTGAAATATCATGGCATCTATAATTTACTTTAAAGTAGTTTAACCCACTGAGCCACCCAGGCACCCCTACTTTAAAGTGGTTTAGTGAAAAGTATCTCGATAGAGCAAATATGGTAAAATTGTAACAATTACTGAGTCCAGGTAGTAGGTACATGGGTGTCCATATGCTACTATTCTCTCTACTTTACTGTATGTTTGAAATTTTTCCTAGTAAAATATTTTTTAAAATTTAAATGGTTTTGACAATATTCTCAGTAGGCAAGTCAGAACAAAATGTCCTCCCCTATCAAAAGCCCAGAATTTTCGACACCAAGAATCTTGAGTACTAAAAGGAAAAATTATTTATGAATGTGGGTCTTAATTTGAAAAGTACATATGAATTATGATGATACCATAGTCATAGAATAATTTACTACCTAAATCCTGAAAACAATGCATTACTCTCAGTTTTTCTTTACATTTTTACCCTGATTATTTGCATTCTGAATTAGAAAGAACTTGAAAGAGGGTGTGGTAACTTCTCTAATATATTTAAGAAGCAGGATCAAATAGGCTCACTTTATTCTTTTCATAATTCAGTCTTCTCAAAATTTTACTTCTCAAAAATGAATGTCCTCCTTAATACACCTCATATAATTTTAAAAACTGAGAATATACATGGCTTCCTTAAAGTTGTATTTGTCATGCCAAATTAAGTCTGACCTTTCAATGTTAACATTTTAGTTAATATTCAAGAAAACATTATTTCTACAGCTTCCTCCAACTTCTGCCTAACCATCCTGGCTGAGTAATGTTTAAAAAGTAATAAAAAATTATGAAAACTAAGATAGGAAAAACTGTCTAATTGTATCCTTGAGTGTACTGGTATCTCAGGAAGTATCAAATCTCACCTTTCATTGCCTGAATATTACATTCTGAAACCCAGGGGAAAAACAGTATTTATTTAAAAGTCAAACCGCAAAAATGTCTCTTTTCTGAATTCGGAATAGCTACGTAATTTTCAGATACAAGCTTTATGAATTTAGTAAGTGATTAACAGCTCTCCTATACAGTAACAATTTTATATTAATTTTTATAATGATCGTTAGTGAGCACTTATGTGCCATATACTGAACACGGCCTAACTGAAAACTTTGAAATCAAATCCTATAAAACACTCCTTTGAGGCACATACTTGGTACAAGGGTTTCTGTAGCACATTTTGAGAAATAACTGGCAGAGTAGGCAAAGGCACTGGCTTAGATTTCAAAACACCTGGTTTCCAAGTTTAGCTCTGTCACACTTCATTAGCTGTGTGGCTTTTGAGAAGTTGTTTCAACTCTCTAAAGCCTGTTTCCTACTCTGTAAAATGAGGGTGATAATTCTTACCTCATTCAGTTAATAACAAAATTAAATGAGACAGTGCTTACAAAGGGCACATCATAAATAACAGTAAAATCAAGACTGGACTTAACAGTAATCACTTGGCAGTGCTTTAGATAAATAGCATTATTCTCCCCCAACACAGCCACAGCTGCTCTTGTTCCATCCATGAGCAAAAATTTTCAAAAGGCCATTTCCTTAATTGGGTATCTCTGAAATCACACTTTAGAAGGAACACCGCTATCTCAACATTCTTAGCATTGCAAGCCAGCAAATCTCCTAACATCACTATACTGCTATATAAATTATGTAATAAATGTGAAATGAATTTTAAATTCTTACGGTCTTATTTTCTTTTCCATAGTCTTCTGTTGTAAATATCAATTGTTTATTAATTTCATCCATACTGATTAGTGATCGTGTTTTGATGAAGTGTTGAAAAGAGACAGCCTCCACATATTCCTGCAGTCCTGAAATACCAACCGAGAAAATGACTAAGAAACAACCAATGAATTAGTCAGACTGTCATCAATAAAGAACTTCAAATTGCTCATCACCTAGTTCAACAAGAGCTTAATGGGGGGCACCAGGGTGTCTCAGTCAGTTAAGTGTCCGACTCTTGGTTTAGACTCAGGTCATGATCTCATAGTTGTGAGATGAAGCCCTGCATCAGGCTCTGCACTCAGTGTGAAATCTGCTTCAGATCCTCTCTTCTTCTCCCTCCCACTTGCTCTCCCTTGCTCTCTCAAGTAAATAAAATCTTAAAAAAAAAAAAAAAAAAAAAAAGCTTAAAGGATGCGGACTCTAATGGTAACACTGGATTCAATACTTAGACTACACAGAATTACTTGAGATAGATGGTAGGTGTTAGTACTGAACACACCAAACATTTCTGACACTGAACTTCACAGACCACTCAAATATAAATGTACTCAAGCTCTTTCTACTTCACGGGTCTTTATAGTCTTAAAAATCTACACTCCTTCCTATGGAGAAATGTTAAAGATGCTTAGAAAAAAAAAACTGTTTAAAGAATTTAAGAAAATGCTATTATAAAAATTCTTTAAGCTGTAGCAGAAACTACACACTGGATTATTTTTTGCTCCCTGAAGCAGCAAAACAGATAATGTTTTAATCAAACGAGGCATAAAATCAAACATAATTTGGATCTTTCTTGAAATTTTAATAGGCAAAAAACACTAAATAATACAGAACTAAGTGTCAAAATACTGGTTTTTTTCCTCCTACTCCAAAATGGATTGAAGAAACAGATAACTCTTTTCTGCTTTAGTAATTTAAGTTTAAAAAAAAAAAAACAAAAAATCTAATGAGCAATACAATTTTGTACCAGATCTAAGTTCTACAAAATTAACACTGAAATAAAAACAAATTTTGGTAAAGGTCAAAAAAACAGTATTATAAATACTTCTAGTGTTTTTTGAAAAAACTAAATTCTCTACCTACAATTTTCAATGTTATTTTATTACAGCATAATCCATAAAGTGATATTTACACGGAAAAAGTATTTCTTAAAATGAATGTCATTACTGTTAAGAAACTGTCTTAGTATTCTTTGTAAAAGCTCTGTTGTAGGGGCGCCTGGGTGGCTTGGTCGTTAAGCATCTGCCTTCGGCTGGGATCGAGCCCCACATCGAGCCCCACATCAGGCTCCCTGCTCTGTGGGAATCCTGCTTCTCCCTCTCCCACTCCTCCTGCTTATGTGCCCTCTCTTACTATCTCTCTGTCAGATAAATAAATAAAATCTTAAAAAACAAAAACAAAAAAAAGGCTTTGTTGTAAGAACAAAAAGAATTCTTACTACAGAAAGAAAACTCAGAACTGAGTAGACTCATCACGCGCAAGCTGCCTCTCTAACACGTCCTGTGAAGAGCCCTCCCAGCGCTGACACTACAAGTCCGGCTTGGCAGCAGCGTTATTAACACCCCCCCACTGGGTATCATCACTTCAAATGCCACGTAAGGGTCAAAGAAACAAGGGGAAGTGGATGACCTGGTTTTGATAGCAGTAAGAGGAAACTACTAAATAAAATAACCTGATTCATTTTGAGCCACAAGTGATGTTAAAGCAAGGTCAGAGACTGGTGCCTTCAGCGGACAGAACAGGACATGATAGAATAGGACACTGTTTCATAAACCGTAACATGCTGAGAAATGAAACAATAAAGTTAAGTTTAACAGAACAGATAACATCTTTTACATTTACAATAAAAAATATTTGTGTAAAATTTTCGTTTTCAGAATAGGTGACCGCCCAATTCTCTTTCCCAAAGACAATCTGTACTTGTCATTTCCTTCCAGAAATAACTTCGCACACACAAAAGGGAAGAACAAAACCTAAGGACCACTCGTTGCATCTCTAAATAAGCTCTACTATGGTCAGCTCTTATGAGTGAGTTAAACAGAAAATATGTGCACGTAGATTTACATACAAGGATATTCATCATTATCATTATAGCAAAAAAGTAGAAAAAGTTTAAAAGATCAATCATTGATGTCGCTTGTCCATTTACCGTCTCTCAGCTCCACTATTTCAGATAACGGAGGTGGACCCTAAAACATGTCAGCTGGCACAATATTAAACTTTGCTGGTAGAGAGCACTGGAAGGAAAGCAAAGGACGAGAAAGCTCTCCTCCCGGTTCTCACGTGTCCCTCCTAGCAGCCTTCTCTTTGTGAGGCAACCAGCTGCTTGAGGTGGCCAGTAGCACACGGCATTTCCTTGAGAGCAGCTTCCCAATGAGCCACCACCACTTTGGGCAAGGAGTTTGAGAATTCTGGAAATTCCGGAAATCAGCTCAATACCTCAGCAGACTTCTCTGCCATCCAATGGGCCATGCCTTCAAGGGGTGAGGGAGGGTGGGGGTGAGAGGTATACTCTTCTAGATTTGCTTCTTTCTTGAATGCCCTGCCTTAGCTCTGGGGTAGTGGCTTCCCCCTCCGAGATTCCTATACTTTTTAGAATAGACTTTTGCTCTATCAGGTAACCCCCTGCACAGTTCATCCTTATATTAAACTTGCCCTATTCAAATTACTGTGTAGCTTGTTTCCTGTTTGGACCCTGGTAAATACAATAGGGAATTAGGAAAATAAATAATGATATTATTTCTCCTTTACACCCATCACTACAGAGGAAGTATTCTATCTTTTGAGACTAGTCGCTGTCTCTACGATCAGGATAAAGATGCAACCCCAGCAGGAAGCTTGAAATGGATCCTGCCTTCAATGTTCCACCTTGTGTTTTCTATCAGATGCTAATGGTCAGTATTCAAACATGCTCAGATCTCTCCTGCCTATTGGACCTCTTTCCTTCCAACTACCGCCCCATCTCTCTTCTCCCCTTCAGAGCTAAATTTCTTAAAGCAGCTCGCTACAACATTTCTCAATAACCTCACCTCACACTTCTCAGCCTACCTCATCCTACCCTGAGCCCGTCTCTACACACCAGCTATCATGAAGATTACACTATTTAATAAGGTTAAGGGACATTTTTTCAGTCTCAATCTTAGCAGCAGTCAGCATTTTGACCACTTTAAAGGAGGAATTCTTTGTGTTTTGTTTTTGTTTTTTAAGATTGTATTTATTTATTTGAGAGACAGAGAGAAAGCATGGATGAGCAGGAGGCAAGGGGAGAGGGGCAAAACAGACTCTGCACTGAGCAGGGAGCCCCACAGAGAAACTGATCCCAGCACCCAGGGATTATGATCTGAGCACCCAGATCATGACATGACCCCGCACCCCAGGAGGAATTCTTTAAACGAGTTTCTATTTGGTCCCTCTGATAGCATCATCTCCTAATTTCTATTTTTTCTACCTCTCTGGCCAGATCCTCTTACTCTCTGCATCTATTAGTTAGTCCCAGGCTCTCTCAAATTCACCTACACCTTGCTTCAATTACTCCTGCCATCCCTCAACTTTACATCTCTGGCTTAAAGTCCCATATATCCAAATACATACTTGACAATCTTATCAGAGGGACTTCAAAATCACAATCTTCCTTCCAAATGCAGTCCCCCTCTTTGTTTTGCCAATTCTGAGGCCTTCCCTGCATCCATTTTTTGACCTGTCATCCATTCTCATACCACTGAATGTTTGTCCTTTTAATAAAGAACAGTCACATCACTTCCCTGCTTAAAGCCCAGATAGCTTTCCATGGCTCTGAGAATACAGAGCAAAATCATTAACACAGCTCAATAAGACCCTGCTCAACTTCCCCCCACCCCACTACCTATATCAGCCTCGACTCATGCCATAGGCAAGTTATAACTTGTCAAAGGTTAAATTTCAAAGATGGGTACACAAACCCATATTTGTAAAATGTCAGAATTGTTCTTAAAATCCTTAAAAAATTCAACAAATGTACAAGACTTACATGTATTCTGTAATGTGAATTTCCCTACAGTTAATATAAATCACTACTTCAATATTTCTAGGTATATAACCTGTCTCCAAATTCCTAGGGTTGGCTTACATTTCAGGGCCATGTTAAGCAAAACCAGCAGTACTTTCAATGTTAGAATCAAACACAAGCGGCAAGGTGCTTATTCTACACGTTTACTGATAGGGATAGGAGAGAGCATAAACTGTGACTATAACATGCATCAGTTGAAAGTGGCAACATAAATTTTCCTGAACCTTCAAGCTAAGGCTCTCAATGACATTGCCGAGCAATCATTGTCTTGGATTAATGGGTGTAAGTCAATGTAAACTTGAAGATGGAGGATAATCACATCTATACACCTATAAACCTCGAGCTGGCTTGATGGTCAAGATATGAATTCCTGGGCGCCTGGGTGGCTCAGTTGGTTAAGTGACTGCCTTCAGCTCAGGTCATGATCCCAAGGTCCTGGGATCAAGTTCCACATCAGGCTCCCTGTCCATGGGGAGTCTGTTTCTCCCTCTGACCTTCTCCCCTCTCATGCTCTCTCTGTCTCTCTCTCAAATAAGTAAATAAAATCTTAAAAAAAAAAAGATATGAATTCCTATGTGCAATTCAAGGTAGAAGATATCAGAAGGGGGGTTATCACTTAAACTGAACCAGCCTCCTCTCTATTCTCCTATGATAATACAGTACATAATGGTTAATCTTATATGTCGGTTTGGCTCACTATGGTGATCATTTGCTTGGTCAAACATCAGTCCAGATGTGGCTGTGAAGTATTTTTTAGATGTGATTAATATTTAAATCAATAAGACTCTGTGTAAAGCAGATCACCCTCCATAATGGGGGTGAGGAGAGGCTGTTCATCCAGTCAACTGAAGGCCTTAAGAACAAAGATTAAGGGGCGCCTGGGTGGCTCAGTGGGTTAAAGCCTCTGCCTTCAGCTCAGGTCATGATCCCAGGGTCCTGGGATTGAGCCCCGCATCAGGCTCTCTGCTCAGCAGGGAGCCTGCTTCCCCTCCTTCTCTCTCTGCCTTTTCTCTGCTACTTGTGATCTCTGTCTGTCAAATAAAT